CAGTTGAAGGCTCTCGTCTGCCCTGACACGCTAATGATGCATTGGGAGCAAATAGTTTGGCTGCTCGGCATATTACAGCGTCCCTCGATAGTCTCTCCGTCCTTTCCCGGGTGCCGTTAGTGTCCCCCTTGAAGTCAAAGCCCGCGTGGGCCCTCTCCTTGTAGGGCTGGATGCGGCGTACTATGAAGCTCGCCACCACCAGTTCGTCGTTCATCTTTACGCCCTTTATCAGGCCGAGGAGCTCCCGTACCTGCTCCATATCAGCACTACTCGGCTTCTCTAACCAGCTCCTCTAGTTCTCCGAAATATGGTCGATATCGCAGCGGATGGTAGGATGACTCTGCTTCATGTAGAACCACCTAGCGTTCCACCCCTTCAGCGAAGTGTTCAGCGGTACAATGATGTACTCGCCCGCCATCCCGTCGTGGAGTTGCAGATATACGCCGCCGACCACTCTAGAATCATCGCCGCCCTTCTTCTTCAGCCAGAACAGGTGCCGAAAGAGGTTGAAGTGGGGAAGAATTCTGAGATACGCCTCATAGAAATGGATAAAAATAGAGATGTGCAAGATGATGTTTGGGTGGAGATTACATAGACTAACTCCCCAAAACTCCAATAGACCCCTCAAGAAAGGATGAACAGGAAATCCTAACCCGCTCCAGAAATAATCTTCAAACACTACGGTTTCGTCGGTGTGCGGCATCGGGTAGGGCTCACCATTGGTCGGCCGCCATTCAGCGGTGACACGGTCAGGAAGAACGCCCGCCTCCACCATCCCATTGATCTCCGCCTCCCCCATGAGCGACGGCACCCACTCATTGTCACGGCTGGCCCTGACGGCCGCCTTCTTCGGGTTTCCAACTCCCCTCTTGGGCGCCATCTCTTAGATCTGGTTTGGGATTGGTGGCGAAAGCGCGTGTGAATATGAATTGGGAAGCGCGAGGGCTGAGGATGAAGACGAAGTGGTGAAGTGGCAAAGGTGGGAGCGCGGAGTGCGGCGGTGCAGTTATAAAGCACACCCCCACTTTTCGCATTCAAGGGTTTTTGGAAAACTGCTCCACGATTTGCGTCTCTCCAAATTCTCCGAAGTGGCATGATGGGCCGTTACCTGGGCTTTTGCGCAACTACAGCCCGTATCACTCATTTTTTGCCGCAATTTGTTACTGCTTACCGAATATTCACCGACTTCTCCGCAATCCATTAAGGCTCAGTAACTCATACTGTACAGCCATTACTCTGGTTTTTTCTCCATGATTTGTTTTCTCCAAGATTTCCATTTATGGCTCGGGGACTGCGTCATCAATACAACTTGGTTCCTCACCACACTGGGGACTTTCTTCTGTTCACTGTTGTTTCTGACCTAGGCACCACGTGACCACGTCACCTATTGTCAGGCTCGGGAACTAAATGGGCACACTTCACCTTGCGGTGAATGTGCTTTTCTCATTTCAGGGCTACGCCCGGGGACTGGCTGCCTGCTTGGCTGGTCTTCTGTTTTTCTTCTACTTTGGACCCTGACATCACGTGACTGCATCACCTACTGTTAGGCTCGGGGACTAAGTGGGCACACTTCACCTTACGGTGAGTGTGTTTGATTTAATCTGGAAGACTCCGTGCCTCCTGAAGTTGAAGAAGACTATCTCCGTTTCTCGTGATCGGACTCTAAGTGGGCACACTTGGTCCACTGCGAGGAAATTTTCGATTTTGAACTTGAGCTCCTTACATCCTTATAACAAGCCTTACTTGGGATACACTGCTCGGCGATGGTTCACAACTGCTCGGCGACGGTTCACAACTGCTTGGCGACGATTCACAACTGCTCGGCGATGGTTCACAACTGCTCGGCAACTCATCATGGTAGCCGAACCATGAGTCTGACAGCTCGGCTTTGTTCACACCTGCTCGAACAAGCTCAAGACGGCGTTGCACAATGGATACAAGGCGCTCGGGGACTAGCTGTGGGGGTACAACCCCGGATACCCACGGCAGACTACATGGGCTGCGCCCCCAGGGGTGGTCCAGCCTACAAAACGAAGCCTTGCGGAGCACGGCGCGTCCCGCAAGACACCGGAAAGATATCCTGAAGATACTACGAGATCTGTTAGGATACGTATGATTCTATAATTTCTGTAATCTGTTATTACTTTCCGGTTATCTTCTAGATCTAACCGACTTGTAACCCTGCCCTCGGACTATATAAGGCGGGCAGGGACCCCTCCAAAGACATGCAATATCATATGATAGCCAATACAGTCCAATAGACCATAAGAGTAGGGTATTACGTCGTACTGACGGTCCAAACCTGTCAAACTCTTGTGTCTCTGTTGCCTTCTTATTCTCGATTACACGTATCTCTGCCGATCAATTTATCTTCATGGGATACCCCTCGGAAGACTGCCGACGATATTATGTTGACACTCTCCTTCCACAACATCCAGCCAACCAGCATCACTAGCGAGTTGAAGCCCCGTTGTGGCACCTACTTCCTGGTTGCTAAGGGGCTGTTTGGTTCCTTAGACCGGATTTTAGTCCCTGTCCCATCGAATGTTTGATACATGCATGGAGTATTAAATATAGACTAAAAAAATAACTAATTACACAGATTGCGACTAATTTGCGAGACGAATTTTTTAAGCCTAATTAGTCCATGATTTGATAATGTAGTGCTACAGTAAATATGTGTTAATGATGGATTAATTAGGCTTAATAGATTCATCTCGTAAATTAGTCTACTCCCGTATAATTAGTTTTTTAATTAGCTCATATTTAATTCTCTTAGGTAGCATCTGAACGTTCAATGTGACACGGACTAAACTTTAGTCCCTGAATCAAATACCCCCTAACCACCGGGCCCAGAAGCATGGCTGGTGAATGACATGCAGCGCAATGAAGCCATTCCTAGGATTCGAGCTTAGTTTTTTTTTTTTTTTGCTGAAAACACATCCCACAAGCAAGTGATCAATGGTTTTAGCTTCCTGAGAGCCGAGAGCGTAGGTATCGGAGCCCTTCAGGCAATCAGGACATGCCACTTCCGTAGAGCTCCCATCCTGCAGCACTTGTGGAGTACAACAACAATTTTTTTTAGTTTTGGTTCTATAAAAAGCAACTTCAACGATGAAGTTAAAATTATTTTTAAATAAACGTTTGGTATAACAACTTCTCATGAAAGATAGCAGAGAGAATGTTGGAAGAAGCTAGTATTTTTAGTTTCACCTAGCTTCACTTGAGGAACCGTGCATGTGAGAGGAGCTGAAAAACAGCTCGGGTAAAATCCCTACCAAATAGGCTCTTGGCAGCTCCATTTTAAATATAGAGCCTGTTCGTTTTGGTTTCAGTCAGAGCTTATCAACTATGATATATTGTTTTTCTCTCACAACAAATCAGTACCAGCCGAACTATTACCCCAGAAACCAACCAAGAACGGGCTGATAGATGTGAACATTGTAGGTACTATTTGGTTCAACTATTTTTGCCCGGCATCCATTAACAGCGTGAATCGATACCGTCAATTATGTTTGGTTAGGTCAGCTCGTGTCTGTTAACAGCAGTATACATTTTCCAGGGCAGTTTCACGGGTTCTGATAAACAAATTCTTCCTAATGGTTTTTTTAGCTTTTCTCGTAGGCATAGTTTTCCATGTGAAGTTGGACGAGGCTAAAAATAGTTGCTTCTTCTAGCTTTTTCTCTGTTATCTATCTTTAGAAACTGTTTTACCAAACTTTTTCTTCAAAACAACTTTAGTTTCATCGGTGAAGCTGCTTCATAGAACCGAACAAAAATTATTTTACTAGTAAAGTTAAGTTGTATAAAACAGACCCTGACATAGAGTCGAAGTTGAATATCACTTTTTATCATATTTTACAACAACAAATATATTAGATTTAAACTAAATTAGAAAAATACTAAAATTAATTTAATCTTTATGTATCATTAATAATATTAAATTATTATTAAAAGTTATTTGTAGATATACTATTAGATAGTTTCATGCATTATTAGTAATATTAAAATTAAATAATTAGTCGCTAGTCATAGAGAGAAAATCTATTAATAGATTTATTATACCTTGTTTTTCTAGTTACAGATAAATATTTTATATTTTTGTTGAATATGGATCTAGAATCGGATAGAGAAAAATACTGAGAAACGAATCTGATTATATCCCTTTAGTATCTAAATTAGAAAAGATATATGGATACCTATATTATAAGTTTTGCGGATATCTATTTTTGTTTTCCATCTTTAGTCGGAGGGAGACGTTCGTTTCTGTTGCGTCCATTCTAGTCAGACGGAGATGTTTGTTTCTGTTGTATATAGGAGGAGCCGGGGACTGGCTCTTTGACAGGATAGTTTGGACTAGAAAAAACGACAACGGATTTTGTTTGGTTAGCTCATGTAATCGGGTACTCCAAGAGGAAGCAGGGAGCAGGAAGCCAGCAATAACATCGGCGAGACGGACTGTGGAGCGGTGGCGGCGGCGGCGGCGGCGGCGGAGATAAAGGAATCGCTATGCGGTAAACGAGAAGCGACGGTGGCGGACATCGGAGCCCGCCAGGGAATCGCAGTGGTGGACAGCGGAGGCCGCGAGGGATCGTGAGTTCACGAGTCGCGACGCCTAGCACGAGGGATGGTCGTGTGGACGGGGAAGGAAAAAGATAACGCTGGCTTTGGAGGGGTATCGGACTTGTATAAAGCCGGATCTGCTCTCGCTGCGTAACGGTCAAAGAACTGTGCAACGGTAACCTGGGCGCCGCGTTTGCTTGCCAGCAATTCAAATCTAACCCACCACCGAAAGATGCTGCAATTACACTCGCTGCTTCCTCTCGGCCTCCCCACCCACCCGAATTCGAAAAGGCGGCGCTGATCGCACCAATCTGATATTGATCCGCCCTTTGGCCCCCTCAATCGCGTGCTGCTTGATTTTCCCCACAAGGGAGTGGCGAGTGGGTCAGTTCTCGCACAGATCCTATCCAAACCCAATCTCTCCGCGGTCTCCTCCAATGGGAGCTGAGCCGGACTTCTCACCACAGCCGCCGGAGCCGACGCACTCGCCGGAGCCGGAGATCTCCGGCAAGGACAGCCGGGTAAGCATCTCGTCCCTCCTCCTGCTGGTGCTATTCCTGTCCTCCTGCTGGTGGGATGTCTTCCGATTTCGTGGCAGCTTACGTTCCTGTGCGTGCGTGGGGTGGGATGGGATCCAGAACTGGAAGGCGGACATGATGTCGGCTCTCGGGGAGTCGGTCTCCTTCGGCCGCTTCCTCACGGAGCCGCTAGAATGGGGGAAGTGGTCCGCCTTCGCGCACAACCGCTACCTCGACGAGGCGGCGGTGCAGGCGCGCCCGGGCTCTGTCGCGCAGAAGAAGGCATTCTTCGAGGCGCACTACGCTAGGAAGAAGCGCAAGAGCGAGGACCACGCCGCCGCCAGTGATGATGTTGCAGGCGGTGATGGCGATCTCGAGGCGGCAGAGGATGGTGGTGCCGCCTCGTGGTCGTTGTCTGCTGCGGAGTCTTCCTGCATGACGGATGAACCATCGGCACCAGCGGAGGAGGTGTGCTGCGGTTGGGAGGATGGAGTGGTGGATTGTGGTGACAGCGCCAGTGACAAGGCAGTACACGTGCCCGAGGAGCTCGCGGCCATCACCGATGCCGTTGGGCCTTCTTGCAGGATGGATGCGCCCACGAATGAGATGTGCCACATGGAGGGCAGCGACCAAGTGGTTGGAGCAGTTTTGCAATTGCAGAAGCAGGATTTGTGCATGGGTAGTTTGACGGCCGTTGATGCCACTTCGAAGGTGACTGATACATTGTCATAGAAGAATTCTATCGTGAAAATGTGCTATTGAATTGCTAACTGAAGTACGTGTTCTGTGTAGGAAATTTCCATTTTGAACCAGGATATCACAGATTCTGTCAAGAAAAGGAGGATCCAGATGGCGTCCCTGCTTTCAAAGCCAGCAAAGCTCAGCTCTTCCCCCACAGCAAAGAAAGGGCAGTCTTCCTCAGCTAAAAGGCGGTCGATGTGGCAGTCTGCAAAGGAGAACACCTCACCTCCTAGTGCAGACAGTAGCAAGCTAGGAACAACTTCGACCCCCCAAAAGACGTCAACACTGTCAGCCTTGCATATGTCTATGGACTCAAGAAATCTTGGTACCAAAATTGCTGATAGGATTAGCCAGTTGGAGTATGCAACCAGGTCTGCAGAAAGCACTAAGCCTCATGATTTAAGGCTATCAAGAAAGGTATAAAGATCCTAAGCATCGAGTGAGTTTACCTTTCAAGAGTAAAAATCTCAGTCTTACTTCCATATTGGTTTACTGTGGTGAATATTTCAGACATTTTCTAGTGCTTTGCCCGAAATTGCTCCAAGGACATCTCAAGTGGATGAAGAAAGGTAGCACTAGAAAGCCGAGACCTTGAATATCCAAAAATATTGTAGGAGTTGATCAGAATTCAGAACCACCACCTTGTATCTTTCTTCTGTATAACATAAAACTGAACATTCATAGAAGGTCCTACAAGGGAATAAAAAGAGTCGGATTCCTTACTCCCAACGTTTATAATTCTCTAAAAAATCTGTCAGTAGTATAAATTTAAAAGCTTTGTTCTCAATATAATATTACTTATAAAATTTATAACTACTAATTGTATCGTCTTTTTCTCTTTCACCGTTCAGATCATCACATATAATGAAAATCAAAGAAAAGCTATTTGGTTCGACATCCCCAACAGTGCATCAGAAATCTGGTATAACCAAAGAAAAAGAGGTAAGTATAGCTAAATGTTAGCTTTCTCTTTTTTGACATGGATCTAAATGTTATGTGATGAAATAAAGGTCCCAATGATACATAAGAAAATAATTGAAATGTATTGTCTGGGATCTGTTATGTAGGTTACCATAGTGTTCTAACCAATTTGTAGAAGCAAATATGCTAGTAACAATAATTGTTATCAATGCAGAAAAACAAGATGTGATTGGCATAGATTGGTTGGGGGGGGGGGAGAGTAGATTGTAGTGGAAGGAGGTCGGAGGTCGAGGGACTAGTGCTCGGAAGCAGCCCGTGGTGCCCGTGTGGTGGGATGCCGGTTAGTAGCGCGTAGGGGAGGGGTGGCATGTGGTGCAGGTAGAGGGAGATGGATGTCACAGAGGGCTAGGTAGCTGGGAAAACTTGAGGACCAGTACTCTACTCCTTTGTTGAATAATATGAGTACATGACCCTAAGAAGAGCCGTAATTGGTGTCTTGTCCATGTGTACGTGTAGTTGTCCCACCACCATGGCTGCGAGGTGGTGGTGCGTGCAAGTGGAGTTGCAGTGAGGTCGAACAACTTGTTGAAGAGGATGCTGCTGAATTCGTGGCCAGATGGTGAGATAGATAGGCAACCTATCTTCGTTGAGGCGTATGAAGATGCGGTAGATGTTGAGGAATTGACATCTGACGTTATGCAAGAAGACTGCTGTGATGGTGGGCACCATGTTTTCAGGCCACTCCTGGGCCATCAAGATGCTTGTTAGCAAAGTGCGTCGAAGCATAACCGTCATCTGTGGTGTGTGTGGAAGATGACCACTAGGATACGAAGTTGTTCGAACATACTCAAGGCGAGGAGGGACTCCATGAGGTTGATAGTAGCGGAGAAGCCAGGAGTTTGGCATGTCCGTCAAAGAAGATATGTCATCAATCATGGACCATGCTCAGGCGGTTGTACTTTTGTATGGAGTCAGCTGGTACCTCTTGCACCACATGTCTGATGTATGAGGGGGGCACTTGATGTCGAAGGCATTGGGTCGTCGGCATCCATTGGTAAGGCGAGCTTTGTTGTGTTTGAAGTTGTTGTAGTGTTGGGGCGCCTGACACAGACATGAACAATTGGCTTGAAGGCATGACAAAAAATACATGGATGGTTGGGGTGTGTTTCATCCCTATGTGCACGCATGTTAGTGGGGCCTTAGTGTCTGTGCGCGAGTGCCGAGCATCAAGTAAGGGAGATGGTGAGGGAACGAGAGAGAGGCGAGTATGGGCGGTTCTAAGTAGGACAGAGCACATAGGAAGGGGGAGAGAGAGCGACTAAGGGTCACCGATCTGTGGGGGAGGGGGCAATGGCCGCGCAGCTCTTGGCGGGGCAGGACCCACTTGTTGGCCTCCCATAGAAAGCACAACGAATGGCCAATCTGTGCCACCCGCTTGGGCCAATGGTGGGGTAGCCCAGCTGCCAGTGATGCAGGGAAATCACAAGGCAAGAGAGGGAAGAGGCGATCCATGCCATCCGCATGCGACCAACTTTGAGGCGCCATGCGGGCACTTTGGTTGCCAGCTTGGCGGTGGTGCGGAGGAAGCCAAAGGCAGGGGCGATGTAAGGATGCACACACAGGTTAGTGGCCGATTGCCACTTAGCCGCGCGAGGCTCGGTTGCTAGCGTATGCGAGTGGGAAGGGAAAAGTGTTGGGTTGGCTAGGCAGCGTGGGTTGGATGGAAGGGTGGAAGGGGAGGAGAGTGGGCCGGGGCCAAAAATGGGTTGCGTCGGGTTTTCCTTTTCGAAATTCTTTTATCTCTCCAACTTATATATATTATGGAGAAAATATTTTTGTGTCGCAAAAGTTCCATGAAAAGCAACTCAATGATTGCCCCTAGGGTGCCATCTCATAATTAAATCAGCTATGGCTTTAACCCATCTAGCCTAATTGCTCTACATGTCACCTCACCAAGCATGTTTGTAGAATTTTTAAAAGTTGTGATTTATTCAGGAGTTTTTGTGGATTGTTACAACCATCGTACGGGGCAATGATGTCGCCGGGGTCACTCTAGTCATTGTCAGAATGGATGACATTGGTGCGCGCCATGCCAATGACATCTCTAGGTCCGGGTTAGCTCAATGTCCGTGTTTAGCGGTTCCAATAGTTCCGTTGTGTAGATGTTCACTTGTTGAAGCTTGCCGAGAGGTCCCATCCATGCCACATGTGCGAGAAAGCACTCGGTGTAGTTGTGGACAGTGCCCATCTTGTAATTGCCTTGTCCGCGCGAGGCATATGCATTGTTGCACTCCTCTTGTCAGATGAAAAGATGCCTTTTCATTGTTGAGGGTCCACTATCCCCGAAGAACTGTGTCATCCTTGGAGCCACCTTGCTCTTGTGAGGCAGTTGTCAACATCGTCAATGCCGCATTGCAAGTGTTGTCGTTATCATCGGCCATTGATACTGTGATGGGTGTAGATTGGTTGGGCAAGCATAGATTGATTGGAAGGAGGAAGGGAAACCGTTGGCCTGAGCAATGGCGGCGATGCAGGAGAGGACGTCGTGCGACAGAGAGATAGGGAGAAAGGCAGCACAGAGGGCTACGAGGCTAGGAGAACTTGAGGTTTAGTACATTAACTCTTTATTCATTTATACCTTGACCCCTAAGCAATCTGGAGGTCTACATGTAGATTTGGACTCTCCTTTTTCTAAACAATTTCCTAAACTAATTTTTATCCCTATTCTATTTCTCATTGAAGTTGAATCCAGACTCCTCATTAGACGAGGGCGCCCACTAGCTAGGGGGGGATGTAACACCCCAGCCTGTTAGAAGCCTGTAGTAATTGTGAAGTTGGCCCATGTGGTCCATATGGAGTTGTTGTTGGGTTTAGTACCACCTTGGAAGTTTAGGAGGGTGAGGGTCAGCTTATATCCTTGTCGTTTTAAACGTAGCACCTCTGGGTTAGCCCTTTACACGAAGCAAGGGCGAAAGTGAGAGGTGCTATGCGTATGCAGGTCCGTTCCACGTGAGGAGCTAAGCTATATAAGTAGATTTAGGATGCGGGGTATTACAAATGGTATTCAGAGCATCAACCCTTGTTGCATGTGCCTGTAGAGGAGTGTACCAAGGGCTGGTCCGAGACATTTGTTGCGTATGTGGAGGCCCATGTGGCACATGAGGAGTTGTTGTCGGTGGCCACACAGGTTGAGCTATATAAGCAGATTTAGGATGCGGGGTATTACAAATGGTATTCAGAGCATCAACCCTTGCTGCATGTGCCTGTAGAGGAGTGTACCAAGGGCTGGTCCTGGACATCTGTTGCGTATGTGATGGCCCATGTGGCACATGAGGAGTTGTTGTTGGTGGCCACACAGGGTGAGGGCTCGTTTATAATCCTTGTCATCCCAAACGTAGCGCCTCCTCCAGAGGCGCATGGCTACCTCTCAGCTGGGCCACGTTGGACCCACCACCTTGGGTACCAATTGGACCCATAACACAATAATTGTTAACATCGCTCTTTATTTATGTGTATTAGCAATGTAGATAATTAACCCAGAAGAAGCTTTTTACAAGCCAATTGCTCTCAAACAATCTTACAAAACTGAAGAAAATAGAGAAAAATTATGGTGCATCACATAATATCTATAGAGCTTGTATCATGCAGAGAAAGTTCAACAATAAACTTGGGTTTAAAGAATCACGACACAACTTTTTCTTCAAAGCCAGGCCGCTGCCAAATTTCTATCGAAGAAACAAACAACCAAAGGATCCAAGTCAGCAGGTGATAATACTTCTATACATTTGTGTAACTATGGTTTCAGATTTTTGGTTGTTACCCAGTAAATCTCACTGGAAAATGCTAAAAATGCAAAAAGAAAAAAATGAGACCATTTATGATTGCAGCGACACTGGTTACTTGACATTTTCAAAGTAAACAAAATTGGTTTCAAAATTTATATTAAACTTTGTCTTTCTTGATCTTACTGGTATCCTGTGGGAGCTTAGCTGCATGAACTTCACATGTTATATTACAAGAATTGGTTGCCATGATAGGAAAATTTCTCTCTTCCACTTAATATTATCAATACTTTAAAGGGTACATGTCCCAGGAACTACATAATTTCAAGATGTTTCAAACAGTAAATTACACTAAAGCATGGAAAATACAAATGCCCATTAGAATACTTTCATTCCGTTGCCTTTTCAGTACCCTTTGACAATTTGGTTGACATGATCATTATTTTATTCCCTTTCTGTTGCTTACCACAACAAACTAAACCTTACTACAAGTTGCTCTATCATCTATTGGCTTCTATTACAAGGAAGAACAAGCACTGATCTTGAAACTATTTAGCTTCAGGTACCTGTAAGGCTGTAAATGAACTATGATTTGTTTTTTCCTGCTTATATATCATCAGACCTCAAGTGTACATCAAAAAGTTGTTAACTTGTTCCTCGAATAATGGCAAGTTACAATTGTGAGAGTCACATCGATTTAAAGAAAGCACATTGTCAATCTGAAGTAAATTCTAATTTTTTAATGATATCATTTTGGATTGATTCCTCACCATATTCTGTGTCCAAGATTCCCTTCTTTTAGTTAGCTATCTTTCTATTCTGTGAGAACCATAAACAAATGAATGCCAAAATGTGGATAGACTAAAGAATGGTTCAATTCTTATTCTTATAGTTTGAATCCTGTACTCATGACACTGCTTTTTCATTACCCTATCCAGAGTCATAAACAAATGCAAACTGTCGAATGGAAATTGTTTAAGCTGCAGAATGCAGCAAACACAAATCTATGTAAAGCTTTTGTCTCGGAAGACATCAGTGAAAATTTTCACCTGCTTGATTTGGATTTTCCTTTCACCACTGCAGTATTCTCCCTTTAACAATGTTTTTGATTTATAAATTTCTAATGGCGAGTTGGTGACAATCTAAATGCAGACTACTCAAGAGATCCCAAGTTCGTCGCAGGGCGGCCATCTACTAAGTGATATTAATCAAGCACACCAAATGGGTAAAGGTGCATCCGATGAGAAACAGATTTGTTGCTTCCCCATCAGAAAGATGTATTAGATCTGTGTTTTCTTCTAATTCCTCGTTGATTCAGGGTTTCCAGTATATATTAGCTTATTCTTTTCATTCATATTCAGTTACCTATTTTGGGACACCTAATCTGTTGCAAGGTTATCTTCTGAGCCACATTGGAGGATACAATTCTCAATCCATCCAATCCTCGGGTCAGTGTTTGTTCTCAATCCATCCAATCCTCGGGTCAGTGTTTGTGATGTTATCCGGACTGCCGTTTCCTGGCTTTGAAGTGTAATGGTTTCATTTTTAGATAGTGAACTTCTAAAGCCATTAAGCCTTGTAATAAAAAACTGTGACATGTCAGTTATGGACTCATGTGGCATAGGAACAAAAACTCGCCCTACTTCTATCTCCCATCTTTTCCGCTGAGCTGTTATTTATTTATTTTTGTTAATGGTGTCACTCTCCATATTGATGTCAACGGAAGTTTGCTACTATGGTTGAGTACGTCGAGCTTACGAGTAGTCAAATTGCACTTGGGCCCATCTTCAATGGTTGTCAAAAGGAAAAAAAGGACTTTTTAACCCCCTCAACTTTTTTGATAGTCTGATTTCCCCACCTCATTTATAAGACTGGACTTTTAACCTCCCTCAACTTTTAGAACCAATGTTTTTTTGCATGAGAAAATTGGATATCTACCCACCTCAATAATGGACTTCGTAAATTTATCCTCCTGGTCATGGGTTT